TATTATTAAAATTTTAATACTTTTATAAACTTTTTTTTTTTTTTTTTTAAACGCATCAAGAAGTATACAATAATTTTTAAAATGGAATAAGTTAACTCAGTAAACTTTCATTTGACGTAAATCATCACTCGTTTTGTTTAATCGTTGAATTTTTCATTATTGTAAATGCGATGTCACAGGTTCTCAGCGTTTTCGAGTCACGACCCTGTTTTACAGAAGGAAAGTGACCTCCCAACACTTAATAAAGATTTTTTTTCTTTTAAATACGCCAAGAGGACACTTATATAAAATGGTTTCAGTTGATAATGGTTCACTACAATTTTAACTTACGGCATATTCAATAGGAATGTTGTCATTATACCTCTTCAACAAACTTCAAATGTGCAGCAGAGTTTTTCGTTAATCTTAACCCCCTCGTCATTCTCAACGTTTAATCCCTTCTATTTTTTTTTCCAACTAAAGATTCGTTTGAGATTCTGATGGCAACGCCGGCCTTGGGTAAACTTTCGCCCTAAGCCAGCGGTTCTCAACCTGTGGGTCGCGACCCATTTGGGGGTCGCGCGACCCTTTCCCAGGGGTCGCCACAGACCATCTGAAAAACACATATGCTCTACATTTATGAAGTAACAACGAATATAATTTTGTGGTTGGGGGTCACCACAACATGATAAACTCTATTAAAGGGTCGCGGCATTAGGAAGGTTGAGAACCACTGCCCTAAGCGAAGCACCCGTTTGGAGCCCCCTTCCCTGTCCATGTGTGGCTCCGCTCTTTTTCCGATTACGACGTAGACTATGGAGCACGTGTTGTGATGCTATACATGTAGCTAACCATACGCATTTTAACATGCACATTAATTTAGACTGTTGAGTTTTTCTCCGGTACTTTGTTCCATTTCCACACCACCTTTGGGCTCGTCCATAATCTGCCCCCCTTTGAGGTAGGAACTAACGGCGCGTTTTTTTTTGTTAAAAGGAGTTTCCCCAGGCGCCCCTATGGCCACGGCGCCCCTATGGCCACGGTGCCCAGTGGGGGGGCATAGGTCTCACACCCTAAACGCCGGCGTTGCTCATGGGATGCATAGAAGCAAGAGGGCAGCACTATTTTATTTTGCTTTTAAATGAGAAAAGGTGATATTTTCTTATTAAAACAATAACAAATGTTTCATCTGGCAGAACTACAGATACCATCATTCACGACCACCCATCTGACAATCCTACAGAATACCATCATTCAGGGCCACCCATCAGGCAACGCTATAGTATACCATCATTCACGACCACCGATCTGACAACGCTACAGAATACAATAATTCACGACCACCCATCTGACAATCCTACAGAATACCATCATTCAGGGCCACCCATCAGGCAACGCTATAGTATACCATCATTCACGACCACCGATCTGACAACGCTACAGAATACAATCATTCACGACCACCCATCTGGCAACGCTACAGAATACAATCATTCACGAGCAACCATCTGACAACGCTAAAGAATACCATCATTCACGACCACACATCTGACAACGCTACAGAATACCATCATTCAGGACCACACATCTGACAACGCTAAAGACTACCATCATTCACAGCCACCCATCTGACAACGCTACAGAATACCATCATTCACGACCACCCATCTGACAACGCTACAGAGTACCTTCATTCACGACCACCCATCTGACAACACTACAGATACCATCATTCACGACCACCCATCTGACAACACTACAGATACCATCATTCACGACCACCCATCTGACAACACTACAGATACCATCATTCACGACCACCCATCTGACAACACTACAGATACCATCATTCACGACCACCCATCTGACAACACTACAGATACCATCATTCACGACCACCCATCTGACAACACTACAGATACCATCATTCACGACCACCCATCTGGCAACACTACAGATACCATCATTCACGACCACCCATCTGGCAACACTACAGATACCATCATTCACGACCACCCATCTGGCAACACTACAGATACCATCATTCACGACCACCCATTTGAGGCACCTGTTGGCTGGGAACCCGTGCGCTTCATGACTTTATGCACAGGAACACACGTATGTACACACATACGCACAAAGAGGGGGGGGGGGGAGGGAGTTAGAGAGAAATGTAAGGTTTCTGTTGATTTTCTGGACACTAACAAACTATAAGGGCTGAAGGTTAACTATGTCAACCCATTTTTGTTTCAATCCCGTTTACTGAGCGTGCCATCGTTGATTGGATGACAAACAAAATGTCCGATTGGTCTTTTGTATCAGCAAAATTTGTTGCAACTAAAAAAAAAAATTTCTCTTTTCAAAAGAAAATAAAATAAAAAATGGTCTTCTGCCAAGTGCAAACTTCAATGAATTCCATTTTAAGCAGCACCGTCCAAACAAAAAGGAGGATGCATTTCTATGATAGGAAGCCGGAAGTCAATGAATGGAAGCTGGAAGTCAATGGTAGGAAGCCGGAAGTCAATGAATGGAAGCTGGAAGTCAATGGTAGGAAGCCGGAAGTCAATGAATGGAAGCCGGAAGTCAATGAATGGAAGCCGGAAGTCAATGAATGGAAGCTGGAAGTCAATTAATGGAAGCTGGAAGTCAATGAATGGAAGCCGGAAGTCAATGACAGGAAGGCGGAAGTCAATTGAAGGTTTTTGAGGTTTCCACCGCCGCGCTCTTTTTGTTTGTTTTTTTTTCTTTTATAGAAAGAGGGGGGGGGGAAGATATCAACAACAAATTAATATAATATCAGCAGACCATAAATGCATTAATAAAGATTTATTCCAATTCTTTCAAATGTCAACAAATCGCATGTCAGAACAAAACAAGAATGTCAATAAAAGATATATAAATGATACAAGACAGAAACAAATCCAATTAAATCCCGATTAAAGTGATGCACAAAAAAAATCATTTTTGCTCCCAACAAGAAATTTCAAAAAAGATGATAAGTTTTAAATGAATTTTATGAAATTAAAATAGTTTTTTAATGAACTAAACATGAGTATTAAATAACATGTCATTCATCAAGTAGATTTAGAGATTTAGATGATACTTGATTATTTCTAAGCCAAATGTTACCTTGTAGCTGTAGTATAACATTACATTAAAAAAAAAATTCTTTAACTAAACGTCACCATTGGCGCCATTTTTAATCTGCACAGTAATTAATATATTTTTTAAAAATTTTTCAGCATTCAATCTTTTTTTTCATGGTTTCTTGCTTACAATTATTTGATGATTATTTTTGTCTGTTCCGCTTACAAATTTAAACAACAAAGATTCATGAAATATCATGTCTTAGAATGATATTTTAAGTCTGCCATCAAACCAAGCATCGTGAGTACTTGTCAGTAGAACCAACCTATGTGTTACATGGAACACATAACTGACAAAAGTAAAAGTTTTTTTCTTCTTTAAATTTATCACTTGGGAAACTCTTTCATATTTACACAGAGGTTACTTTGATAACATTCTGCATTCATGTTTGATATACAGGTTCTAACATTTTGAACTGTAAAAAAAACATTAACACTCTTGGTTACAGCACATCCATTCATATAGATAATATTACAAATAATTTGGACCCCAACAAATCATATTATATCATGTCACCAATGTGCAGGTAAAGAGAAATACATATTATTAATGAACCTTTCATAAAAATGGATAGAGCAGATGTGTGACAATTTTCATTTTAATATAAGATTAATTTTTTATTATTTTTTTTAAATACATGACAAAAGAATAAATTTCCTAGTTTCCTAATAGTTTCCTAATAATTCAACATAGGTTGTCATTGATTATAACAAGCTTCATATTGATTACATTCTGGATTATATACAAAGTATATGGGCCGCAATGATGTCTTGGGTCAGTCAATGTTACCAGTAATTCAAATGTATAGCCATAACAGGTAGAAATGACATTTATGGTTAATATTTACACTTGTTTTAAAGAAGGGGATACAACAGCTGAAAGTCATTTGTTGAGATAATTATAAAAATCAGGATGTGTAAGAGGAATAAATTAGGGCTCACACGCCAGGTGCTTGTTGTAGAGAATAAAGATGTCCGTCAGACAAATAAAAAAATCACTTCATTAGAATGAGCTTAAACTTGAGAAACTCTATTCGTTGCAGTGATAAGAACTTAAGAGATGAATTCTGTAGCTGTTTTTGGTCCACTGACTGTTCCCTCATGCAGATCCATGGATGCATACAAAACAAGCTGGTGCTGGAATGGACACTAGCACATGTCGTCACAGTGGTGGTTTGGGGGAAAAAGGGAGAGGGGTGTGGGGAGGGGGGATGAAGAGGGCAGCCAAATAAAAGACCGCTAAACACACTACCAGTGACATGAGAAAAAAAGCTCCATCATTCCACAACAGCACTATAGAGACCAAAACACCATCTTCAAACTAAAGACTGACCACTGAGGGCATTGCTGACACTGGCATTGCCTCCATGTCGGACATTAAAGACACTTGTAATAGTTTTAAAATCTACTTCTAGATTCTGACAAAAGAAAATACTGTTAAAAAAATGAATTTAAAAATCACTCAAAAGGTGAAACATCATGAAAGTCAAAAATGTTCTAACCGTTCTTCATGACAACTTTTCACTATTTCTGAGACAAATTTAACAAAGATAATTCTGATATGGCTTTGCGTGATTTCTTACAACGTTATTTCTTACTGTAAAATTTAATCAACGTAACTGGATTTCCAGGGAATTGATATTATCCATCTATACTCATTCCATCATAGCAACCCAGCATCTCCAAACATTATCAAAAATTGATGATACCAACCAGACGTGATGACTAAAGTCATAATCGCACAACTTATTGATATTAACCAGACATGATTACTAAAGTCATAATCACACAACTTACTGATATCAACCAGACGTGATGACTGAAGTCATAATCATACAACTTACTGATATCAACCAGACGTAATGACTAAATTCGTAATCACACAAGTTATTCTTACAATAAGAAACTAAGATTGATGACTTATGACAAACTGAGGTGATGTTTTTGCCCTAATGGTCAAGAACTAAATGATCATCACTTCACATTACAAATCACATATTGATTTTATATATATATATATATATATATATATATATATATATATATATATTTATAATATATACATATATAATATATATGTGTGTGTGTGTGTGTTTAAATTCATTAAGAACTAAAATTATGTTTATTATTTAAAAGTTTAGAAATGCAAGTGATATTCATCCACAGAACATTGGGCATTATACTTATCTCAATATTTAGATAACTCAGACAGTTATAAATTAATAAGCTCAACATTCAACATCATGTACCTTTCATTTCAACCAGTATTTTCCTTTCTTACAAAAAAAATAAGAAGAATCCTCATCACGAAATCAATATCCATTAATTTATATCGGCAAAGTCTTCCCAACTGTCTTTGAGGCTGCAGCATAGAATATGCTAGTGAAAAACTTGAGCCCTCTTTGGCCTCCAGGGATATAACTCACCACATACCTGTATATTTAAAAGAATGATAATTTTAAAAATTCAGTATGACCTCTTGGGAAAATTTCTCCTTCATTTTTACTTTTACATAAAATATTATATTAAATAGATTTTTATTTTTACTTTTTTTCTAATTGGTAATAAGAAAACAACCCTGAAAGCTACAAAAAAAATAATTGTCCTACACTTGAATATTTTAAGTTTCTCTTTACTAACTATATATCAGAGTTCTTCATTTAAAAAATATGAAATAGAAATCTTAACAAATTTAAACTTAATCTGCCCATGTAAATAAAAACTTTAATTTCTACAATATGGAAAGCCGGTGAATCAGGTTAATGAAGAAATCCTCAAAGGTTTACAAAGATCTTTAAAGACCAAAATACACATTATCCTAAATCTACTTACCAAACTAATGCCACAATTTGAGAAACTGCAAATATGATTGTGAGAATTGTGCTCTTCGTCTGAGGAGATGCAAGTATAACAATAAAATTCCAGAGATGACATCTTTAAGTGTTATAGAAACTGAAAGATGTTGGATAAAAGTAACATAACACATGAATGAAACAACGCTAACAAGAAACTGATATAAACCGTTATCTCTATTACAAAAGGCAAAATAATTACCCAAAGGGCAAAGTAGATAGTGGCAAACATGGCTCCAAAATAGGTCAGTGTAAATGGTAATCGACCAACAGAGAATAAATGCTTAATGTGATGGACAGGTCCCCATAAAAGTGCAAAGCTGAAATCATAAATAAGTACATGTTATATAACTAGAAAAGTTTTAATATACAATTCAGTTTGAGTCATATTTATTTAATACCTCTAGTAGGTATTAAGTCGAAAATATAGTTCTAACTGTACTGAAATAGGGAGAAAAAAAGATATTCAAACAATTAAAAACTTAAGATTCGAATAGTGGCGTCAAGACTTGAAGTTTTTTTAAAATCACATTGAAGTCATCACCTTGATATATGTGGAAAAAAAGTCAGAACGAGATGGAATTTGAGATTTTATTCATTAATCTAATTGTCCATTAATGAAAACACTGTCTTTCAAAATTTTCTACACTTAAATTATATTATTATTATTATTATGATTATTATAAGTGGTTTTATATAGTCTAAAGCTGGGCTCACCACTCTGTACATACAATTTAATAAACATAATCAAGAACTTTGAATGAAATTAAACAAAACAAATGTATATTTAAATCTATTTACATGTCAAGCCATGGACGACACTTAGCAGCATCGTTTTTCGGTCAGAGGTGGGAATCAGTGACGTGGGAATCAGTCAGGATAGTAGAGTTTAAAAAGATGTGTTTTGAGTGCAGTTTTGAAGGCTGTGATGGTTGGTATATTGAGGATGTATAATGGAAGTTAAGTACCTAGGTGTTATCATTCAAAGAGAGGTCCGCTGGGACGAGCACATTAACAGTGTGTGCAACAGGGCAAACAAAACCCCTGGGGTTCCTAAGGTGCAATCTGAAGATCGGCAACTCAAGCGTGAAAGAAAAAGCCTATAAAGCCTTTGTCCGGCCTCTTTTAGAGTATGCTTCTACAGTCTGGGACCCCTTTACCCAGAAAAGCATCGACAAGTTGGAGGCTGTCCAGCGACGGGCAGCACGCTTTGTCATGAACTGCTACAGAAACACCTCAAGTGTTGGCAGCATGCTAGAAACACTGGACTGGTCAACATTGGAAGAACGACAATGACGATCCAGGCTCACCATGTTGTACAAGATCAAAAATGGGCTGGTCCACTGCTCTGGCATCAAACAGAAACTAGTTCATCTTCCCCCTAAACAGCGACGAGGCCACGACAGACAGTTCCGGCTGGTAAAAACAAGAACAAAGTACAGGAGCTCCTCATGCCTCCCGAAGACAATAGGGGACTGGAACAAGCTTCCAAAAGCAACAGTTGAGGCGGCTACACTCAACACATTTGTGACACATTTGTGTCTATTGCCTCCTGTATTCCAACCCCCAGTTCGTAACACCACTGCTGAGTAGCCCTTGCAACCAGTGAAGTATCCCCTTGAAACACATGCACAGTAACATCGCGAACCCCTCTGAAACATATGAGCCAGAATTATCAATTCATTGATCGTGGGTCCTCAAAATAAAGAAGAAGAAGAAGAAGAGAATTCCATTGTTTAGGGGCACAGAAAGACAGAGATCGTTCACCATATGTTTTTGTTCGAGTCTTTGGGACAGAAAGAATACGCACGTCTGCGGAGAAGCGAAGCTTTCGAAGGGGTTAATAGACAGAAAGAGGTTCGGTAAGATAGGAAGGGCAGGGATTCGAGAAAAGTTGTGGCAAACATATATATATATCTATAACAGGCCTGTTGCAGATAAGTTTAGTTTCTAATCTTAAGTTTGTCATAAATTGAAAAAAAAACACACAAAAAACATGCTTACCTTGACAAAACAAACAGACTCCCTAATGTGTAGAGCAAAGCAAATTTTCTGGCTTTAAGGACAAGGAATGGAATATACAAACTGGCCTGACATGGTATGAAAAATAAATTAACATAGGAACAAGAAATTTATGTTGGAATTTCTATATTTTTTAAAAATTAATGAATAATTTTAATTTTTTAAAAAGCACAAAAAAATTAATGAAAGCAGAACTATGAATTGAAAATATAGCTTTTTCCCATTCAAACATAATAGTTTTTTTTATTATTTAAAGAAAGTTTACTCCAAAGCAGAAAAAGATGAATTTATTTCTTATGCTTTACTGTTATTCATTTATTAACATGATAATCAGATTTTAATGGCTCTTAATTTACCAAAATTGATCATATTTTTTTCTTTTAAAAATTTTTTTTTAAATTTTAATTATCCATTAAAATTTAATTTTATAAAAATCAACAACACTACACAGAAATTAATGATTACAAAGTTAATTTCTGTAAATATATATACTTACTAGACTCAGGCAAAATGTCCCCATTAGTAAACAGATTATAAAACCTATAATTCTTTGTTTTTTACTCTGGAAAAAAAACAACAACATTGTTTAAGAAAATGTAATATAAGTAACAATTTTAATAAACCTGAAATATGTAGCAGTATGTTAACGTCTGGTAAAAAGTACACAAATATTATTCCACTACTTGCAAGTGCAAGCCTAACTAAAAGCCTGGTCTTGTAAACACTTTAGATTTAATTCAATGACCTTGCTTCTAACCATTGTGGTGGGTTCAAAAACAAAAGATATGCTTTGTATGTTGTTGAATTATTCTTCTAAATTTGTTTTTTAGACAAAGGAAAAATTTTTGGGGTGATGACACACATTGGAGTAAAGCTGTGAAACTAGGATCGAATGTTGCAAGATAATTTCTGCAAGATCAGATTATTGAACTTTGTAGTTATAAGTTGTAACATATTAGTCATTTCAATAAATATGTTTGGATTACCTAATCCAAAGTGGCATGACATCGAATTTGTCAAGATGCATAGTTTAGATTGTACTGTACAGTTTTCGTGAGTGTTTTGTGCGCACCACCCACCCAAACAAAGACTTTTTAAATTCTATAACCATATTAAATTATTAAAAGATTTGAAGTTTATGTTAAAATGAATACAAATATTACAAATGTGATTGCGATTGCTTTGATAATCTTGGGCAAAACCATGATTTTTTAAAAGTGTAATAAAGATGTATAAGAAAAGATAGCTTTCTTTCAAGAAACAAAGCAAAAGAACAGGTCTTCTTTTTGTCTGACACCCTCCCCCTGAGCTGAGGATGTGAATTTATCTTATTAAAGTCATACTGTATACATCAGTACATAATAAAAATCCAGTTAGTAGATTAAGCCCTAGTAACATTTTCTAACAACTAAATGCTCAGCCAAAATACTACTGAAACTAGAATCATAAAGTTAAAAAACTCCTTCGTGAAGTAGACTAAGGTAACTCAGGACTGGTGACTGTGAGGTCATGAAATTTTCATTAAAGGCCTATTAAAATTACTTAATTAAAAATTAATTTACAAACACTATGTGGTTCATTTCATTTTTGGGTCTTTGGCTAGGTAATCATCAAAAGTCATATCTGATATAAATGATAAGTGAAGTGTCATACCCAATGTTCCCTCTAATATTTGGAAAAGCTGGGCACCAAGAATTTTTTTTTGCATAATATTTTGAAAATATTAGAAAAGTGTTCAAGTCATGACAACAATGACAAAACTAGCAAATTTTATTAGCAAGGGGGTAATCCCTTTGTATAGATACACGGTACAGTCATACAGACTACAGCAGGGGTGGACAATCCAAATGACTTCACAGGCTGTTTGAGCATGAGTCAACTCCTTGTAGGTCGTATGTAATTACATCTATCAAATAAATAAACACCAAATGAAATTGTGGTGCCACATACTTGCATAAATTGTACAGATTTTAATACAGAAATAAGATTAAAAGGTGTCCATCACTGTCAGTTTGATTTGATCTCCAGGGTGTGTTGGGAGGGGAGAAATCTAGGAGGGAAGAAATCTAGGACACCGGCTGATGGCTCCAGAACGTAAGTAGGGGGAGGGGACTGGCCCCTGTCAAATTGTTGGTTTCTGGGTCTTCCTGACCAACCTCTTTAAATCCTTCCTTCTCTTTTGATGCCGTTGTCTAGAGTGACAACATTACACAGCAGCACTCTATACTAAGAGTTACCCACACCAAATACTAGTACTAGAAGCAGCAACTCTTCATAAAATAATGCTGTTTATCTTTATTCTTGATACTGAGCAAGACATCAATGTATTATTGTTAACAATTCACAATTTCAAATGGCTGAATGTATCACTTGACTTTCACCAGTCTGAGTCCTATAACTTACTACATCAGACTCTCTCAACACATGTCCCTGGAGCTGTACATCAACTCCTATCTTATCGAGCTCACGCAACTTAAATAACACACACTCGTTTTTAGTTACTTCACTTTTATCCATTGACAAAGGGACACTACGATACCCAAGTTCAGACCCGGTACTAAAATAAGTGATTCCCATACTCAACAGCCCTCTCCACAGAAAATTTTATAAATTCAAAATGCAGGGATTCAATTTGGTGCTGCTATCCGTATTCTGCATTGCATCATTTTACACTTAGTTGGAGAACAACAGAAGAAATGCAAGTGGAAATATAAGTGCCCTTTAATGATTTTGTTTATAAAAATCTTATACTTTAGTTTAGATTTGAGATCACTAATTTAAAATGAATTTTCCTTAGACATCAGACCAATCTAGGGGCCAGTATGTTAAATAATTTTTGGGCTGTTGGTGACAGACACACTGTGAGGCTCACAGCATCAAGGAAACAGCTAAGACAAAGGGAGCATTAATCGTGCCAAAATAACTATTATTTAATGTACCAGTACAATCTTTTTGGCCTAGCATTAATAATATATATTATATATCAGGGGTGGGCAAATTATGGCAACTGATATTATCCAGCCCTCGGAGGCATTTACAACAAAAAAAATTACTTTGTTTTTAAGTTATTTTGTTGAATTTTACATAATTTCATGTACCTTTAGGATTGTTTTAACATTTTTTATAAACTTTCGTTCTAATTTTCTATTTTTTAAACACTCCTTGACTTTTGTCATGTAATGCTAAAATGCGAATTTACCGATTTTAATATAGAGAAATGTTTATCGACATATAAAAATTAGACATAATACACATGCTTTACATTTGTCAATGCGGCCCTCCACACAAAAATTTTGCCCACCCCTGTTGTATATGAATATGTGTAAGTGTAGGCTAAAATTAGTATTAAAAAGAAACTTAAATAATTTTAAAAGTGGTAATTTATAAATTATATGCCTTTGCTAGTCATTAACTTGAACATATTTGTATACTGAATTTACTCACTGAATGACTGATTGAACTGATTCGACTAAGCTGTTTTTTTAGTTTTCTATATTATTTGAGCTAAGCTTATATTTCGGATTTAACAATTTAATTTAGTGTTTGTAGGCCAAATAATAATTCTAGTAAATTAGTATTAGTTTAGACTAGTAGTAGTAGTAGTTTAAGTTAACTTAGGTGTCTTAGGTTAGTATTAGTATAGTAGTATAGTATATTTAAGTTTATTATATAGTTAAAGCATGACTGGTAAGATGAGTTACTGAGTATGAATTACCAAACTTGGCAGGAGTGGATCTGATTGAGCGTCAATAAGCCATCCATTGGCAGCTTCAGTCTGCGGTTTGTCTTCTATATCTTCACCTGATGTAAACCATTTCGTACTTAATAAAGAATATTTAGCACTCGAGGGGCCGTCCTTATTGGACCTTGACAAGTAGTCTTTAACATTCTGACTTAGGTCAGCCATCTTGTAAATAAGACGTGACTATGAGCTTTTTATCCTCTTTCTTTAAAAAAGAGCTACACATAACATATGTCACTAAATTTTTTAGAGAGCTATATCATCAAAGAGTATCAATTAATTTAATTGCATTTTTAATAAATAATTAATTATTACTTAATTTTTACGCAAACTTTATTTTTATGATTTAATATGATAGTAGAACTGAAAATCTTTGGTTGGGTAGGGGTTGCGCATAATGACGGAACTTAAAAAAAAAAAAAAAAAAAAAAAATAAAAAAAATAAAAAAAATTAATAAAAAAAAAAAAAAAAAAATAATTAATTATTAATTAATTTTTAAGCAAAATTTATTTTTATGATTTAATATGATAGTAGAAATGAAAATCTTTGGTTGGGTAGGGGTTGCGCATAATGACGGAAATTAAAAAAAAAAAAAAAAAAAGAAAATTGAAGAAATTAAAAATATTTATAACTAAGAAAACAGATTAGGTTTAATATAAATAGGCCTAATAATTGATTAATTAAGGACATATGCCTATCTTTAACTGAGAAAGTCTTTTTAAAACATGAATACCAACGACTACAGTAAACTGCAATAAATAAAAATTAAAATAAAAATAAAATAACGGAACACTAGTCGTGAACAGGGAGGACATTAGGATAGGAGGTGGGGTGCATTCCCCCCCCCCACCACCACCCCTGAATTGGCAGGTTTTATTTAAATTGCTATGTACTGTGGCCCCTCCTTTTGGTTTTGCACACCCCCCCCCTGAAAAGTATGCGTTTGTTTTTAAAATACACACGAAAACTGTACAATCTAAACTATGCATTGTGACAAATTAGATGTCGTGCCACTTTGGATTGAGTAACCCAAATGTATTCATTGAAATAACTAAATAACTATACATTAAAACTTATAACTTATTAAAACTACAAAACAAATTGGAATAATCTGATCTTTCAGAAATCATCTTCCAACATTTGCTTCCTAATGTTACAGTTTCACATCTTTACTTTATGGTGTTCCATCTACAGAAGGAAAAAAAATCGTATTTGTGTAGAAAAAAAAATTAGAAGATAAAAAACAACTACATACAAAACAAACACTGATCACTGATATTACGTTTTTAATGATATTTTTTTCCCCTTATATTGAAAAATAAAAATTCGCAAAATGTATTGCCCAAAGCGGGGCCTTAGATATTTTCACCGGAAACAAAAAGAAAAATGTATTCCCGCTGTACAAAGTTGTTTTTTTAAAATTAATATAATTATTTTTCATCAATTTGGCACCCTTTCCGATTATCATCTGGGGCTTGTTTGACTCGTCCTTGCCCATGCCCTGAAATATTGATACAAAATACTTTTTGCAATGTGACAATCAAACTCAAATACCCTGAGAATCTTGTTGTTAAACATCGGCAAGGGCCTTTGGCGTTATTTTAGAGGGAGGAGCTACCAGTGACACCGATGTGAAGGTCGCCTTATAGCTTTACCAAACACTGTTTTTTAAGGGAAAGCATAAGTAAAACGCTTTTTAAAAAAAACATTTTATATTTATCGGATATATGTCTAGTACATACATTATTAGTCACGTAGACAGATCCGTGGAAGGAAAAATACAGTGATGTATCCTAAACTTATACCACAAACAGTTTCTTCTACACACTTCTTTCTGGCTGCCTGAGACATTTTACTAAGCAATCCTTTCATTTACATTTTACTAGTAAGTTTCATTTATTTTTAACAGGAGCGCAGCTTCAAAACATCTCAACATTCCAGACCAATCAATTCGTTGTATGTGTATTCTGATGAATCAGTGGCAAATTCAAAATAAACTTCAGTTAAATGATCGCATGCAAGGAGAAACACTATTGGCTTTAATGAGTAGGGTACGCCCAGTCAGGCCCACACCTAGGAAATTCTGGGCCCCAGGCAGCTGACAGAGATTGGGCCTCTTTCGTGTTTCAAACATGTGGGTATATTTTAAAAAGGGTGGGCCCCTATCTAGCTCGGGCCCCTGACAAGGGCCATGGTGGTTGCCCCCCCCCCCACCCTCCGAGGGCCTGGCCCAGTGTTTGTGACACCATAGTTTTCAGTGTGAATGCATCCATTCGGGGGGGGGGGGAGAGAGCTATGTGTTCCTTTTGAACCTTGGTTGCTCCTTCATCTTGTAGCCAGAGCCGTTGCCAGGGCCCTGCACCCCCATGCGGCTGCAGGAGTGGTGAGCACGTGGGGCTAGGGGGTCTAGAAACCATATTAAAACAAAGTATTTTTAGATTTCTTTGAATAGCTAGATAACAATGACCAAAAAAAAC